AGGGTATAATTGAGCTGAATTATTTGGCTAGTCTGATAATTCCCGTACCCCCAGTATCATACCAATACTGGGTTTTGGGAATATCGGCAAATACCGAATTTTTTCAGGCTCGGTAGATCCGAACCTGAAAAATTCCGAATTCTTTTTGGTGCACACCCCTAGTCTCAAACCATGTATCTGAGAGACATATGAAGTGTGAAGCGTAGGACCTCCAAAGGACGTTACGGCCCACTACACCAGATCTGCAGCCACATAGCGACCTTTTCCACCAGTGTTCTAGTTGTAGAAATTGTTAGTGTCGCATCCTGGTCCACTTTTTATACCTGTGGGACTAGTTAAAATCAGTAGAACCATCATCTGGTAGAAAGGTGTGCAGAATAGTGGTAGAACAGATAAAAATAAGAATCAGGATCCCACCCAGGTTGTAGCTTGGGCATATAGCCAGCTTGGATGACTTCCCCCACAGAAGAAGAATGAAACATTGGAACTTACTTGAATATTTCTTCTCTTCAGTGGGGCGAAGTCATCCACATCCCCCCCTCCCAATCTAGTCATATGCAGAATCTGTTATGGAGCTGGGCTATACTGAGACTGGAGGGTTAGCCTCACTCTGAGCCAATGCAGTCTACACAAATTTGCATAGCCCTGCCTGGAGCGAGAGGAGGCGTGACCTAACCAGTTTGGATGACTTTGCCCCACTGAACAGAAGAAAACTTCAGGTAAGTTTCAATGTTTCATTTTGTAGCTTACGTATTAACCCTCTCTTGCCTGAATTCTTCCTTTCTTCCTCATATTCCCAGTTATGTTTGATGAACACCACTAAGACCTATAGGTTAAAGGAGTAGAGTAAATAAGAAATATAGGAATATTTGAATTTTGGAGAAAGAAAGAAATGCCCTCAAAAGAAGAGACTATAAATCAAATACTTGTGACTGCCGAAATGGATAAACTAACTTTAATTCTCAGAGGACAAGATGAAGCAAGCTTTGAAAACACAAGGGCAAGATTTTACAGTTGGTTAAAAGACTATAATAAATGAACGATATTGACATAACAATTCTATAAGAAGAAATAATAAAATGTATATCTAACTATAATGCAAAATATATTTCAAAATACATGGTGACTCAGGAAGATAATACTTTAAACAGTTATTGTATGAGGTAATACAGAAGTCAAATCAGATTTATATGAGTTATTGTATGAGGTAATATAGAAGTCAAGTCCAGATTTATATGAAACCCTGGATTGTATGTATCTATGTTTGTCTGTTTGTTTGTCTAATATAAAATTTTTAAAAAACTTAAAAAAAGGAATATTTGAATATTGAACTAAACTTTTATAAAACTGAAAACCCTAAACTGTTTAATAATATATTACACCTTATAGCATATTTTGGTGCCAAAATTATACACCTTTAAACAAAAAACATTCTTGAACATGAGATATATGTCTACAGATTTTAAGTAACACCTTGTGTTGAATTTGACACATTACGCAGAGAAAAAGATCACAGGAGGTCCCCTCCCCCAAGTGGTTCCCCAAATTTCCCATTTTTTCCTTCGGAAAAATAGGCTTTGGGGGGAAAAACATACCCTCCCTTTTTGTATCCTTTTCCTGAACCTTTTTCTGGACCTTCACATCTCTAATCCAGAATGTATTCTGTGAAATCATAATTATGGCAAATAAAGTAATTTAAAATCATAGTTTTCGGCCCCTTGTTTTTGTGTACCCTTACCCTAAACATAATGGAATGGCTAGCATTTGAACGATCACCGAAACCATATTTTGTTTAAACAAGGGCTTAATGGTCTCGAGATAGCAAGAGGAAGGTGGCAGGCTTAACCAGTATGGGAAATTACAGCTGTTTCTATGCAAATGCTCGAAGTGTCCGAGGTAAAATCGGGGAGTTGGAGTGCTTGGTGTCAGAGGGAAAAATAGACATTGTGGGTATTTCAGAAACTTGGTGGGATGAGGAAAATCAGCGGGATACGGTGATTCCCTGTTATATATTATATCGGAAGGATAGGGGGGGAAGGGTTGGAGGTGGGGTGGCTCTGTATGTCAGAGAGGGTATAAAGTCCAGAAAGATTGAGAGGCTAAGAGAATTGGATTCACTTCTTGAAGTTCTGTGGGTTGAAATAGGGGGGCCAAAAGGAAACTTAACACTGGGAGTTTGTTATCGCCCACCGGATCAAAAGATAGAGGAGGATTATAAAATGATGAATGAATTAAAGATAGCAGCTAGACAAAAACACTGTGTCGTAATAGGTGATTTTAACTACCCACACATTGATTGGGTCAATATGTGTTCTAGTCGAGAGAAAGAGATTGAGTTTCTAGACACTCTAAATGACTGTGCTATGGAGCAGATGGTCATGGAACCTACCAGGGGAGAGGCGATCCTTGATTTGGTCCTAAGTAACACTCAAGACCTGGTGAGAGATGTAAAAGTGATTGCACCGCTTGGGAACAGTGATCATAATGTTGTTGAGTTCAACATTTGTACAAATAGGGAATTGGCCAAAAAGACTCACACAACCATTTTTAACTTTAAAAGGGGTAATTTCTCTGATATGAGGGGACACGTGGGGAGGAAACTGAAAGGAAAAGTAGAAAGGGTCAAAACAATTGGGGAAGCTTGGGATCTATTTAAAACTACGATCCTAGAAGCTCAAAAAATATATATTCCGCAGGTTAGGAAAGGCACAAACAGGTATAAGAAAAAGCCTACATGGTTAACAAACAAAGTAATGGAAGCTGTAAAAGGTAAAAAGGATTCCTTTAAGCGGTGGAAAGCTAGTCACAGTGAGGCTGATAAAACAGAACACAGGCTATGGCAAATAAAATGCAAGTCTGTGGTCAGGCATGCAAAAAGGGAATATGAGGAGCATATAGCAAAAAATGTAAAGACCAACAATAAAACTTTCTTCAAATACATTAGAAGCAGGAAACCAGCCAGGGAGGCAGTGGGGCCCTTGGATGACCAAGGGGTAAAAGGAGTACTGAAGGATGATAGGGAAATGGCTGAGAAGCTAAATGCATTTTTTGCCTCCGTCTTCACTGTGGAAGATGAGAAGTGCTTGCCCACTCCAGAACCACTGATTTCAGGAGGGGTGTTGGAAGACCTGAGTCAGATTGAGGTGACGAGAGAGGAGGTCCTAAAACTGATAGACAACTTAAAAACTGATAAATCACCAGGCCCAGATGGCATACATCCGAGAGTTCTGAAAGAACTCAATTGTGAACTTGTGGATCTCCTGACAAAAATATGTAATCTCTCCTTAAAATCAGCCTCCATTCCTGAGGACTGGAAGGTAGCTAATGTCACTCCCATCTTTAAAAAGGGTTCCAGAGGAGATCCGGGAAATTACAGGCCAGTCAGTCTGACGTCGATACCGGGTAAATTGGTGGAAACCATTATTAAGGAAAGAATTAGTAGGCACATAGATGAACAAAACCTATTGAGGCAGACTCAGCACGGTTTCTGTAAGGGAAGATCTTGTCTCACTAACCTGTTAGTGTTCTTTGAGGGGGTGAACAAACATGTGGACAAGGGGGATCCAATAGATATTGTTTACCTTGACTTCCAGAAAGCTTTTGATAAAGTTCCTCATCAAAGGCTCCTAAGTAAGCTCAAAAATCATGGGATAAAAGGACAAGTCCTTTTATGGATCAAAAACTGGCTAATTAATAGAAAACAGAGAGTGAGTATAAATGGGCAGTTCTCCCAGTGGAGGGGTGTAAGCAGTGGGGTACCACAGGGATCAGTACTTGGTCCACTGCTTTTTAACTTGTTCATTAATGATTTGGAGATGGGAGTAAGCAGTGAAGTGGCTAAATTTGCGGATGATACGAAGTTGTTCAGGGTGGTGAAAACCAGTGAGGATTGTGAGGCACTCCAAAGGGATCTGTCAAAGATGGGCGAGTGGGCGTCAACATGGCAAATGGGGTTCAATGTGGCCAAGTGCAAGGTGATGCACATTGGAGCCAAAAATCCTAAATATAAATACACGTTGATGGGGTCTGAACTGGCAGAGACTGATCAAGAGAGAGATCTTGGAGTTGTAGTAGATAACTCACTGAAAATGTCGAGACAGTGTGTGACTGCAATAAAGAAGGCCAATGCTATGCTGGGGATTATTAGGAAGGGTATTGAAAACAGATCAGCCAATATCATAATGCCCCTATATAAATCAATAGTGCGACCTCAATTGGAATACTGTGTGCAATTCTGGTCACCACACCTTTAAAAGGATATTATAGCTTTGGAAAAAGTGCAGAAAAGGGCAACTCGAATGATAAAAGGGTTGGAACACTTTCCCTATGAGGAAAGGTTAAGGTGCTTAGGGCTCTTTAGCTTGGAGAAACGACGACTGAGGGGTGACATGATTGAGGTTTATAAGATTATGCATGGGAAAGAGCAGGTAGAGAAAGAGGTACTTTTCTCCCTTTCTCACAATACAAGAACTCGTGGGCACTCCATGAAATTGCTGAGCGGTCGGGTTAGAACAGATAAAAGGAAGTACTTCTTCACCCAAAGAGTGATTAACACTTGGAATTCACTGCCACAGGAAGTGGTGGCGGCTACAAGCATGGACGGCTTCAAAAGGGAATTAGATAAGCATATGGAGCAGAGGTCCATCAGTGGCTATTAGCCACAAGGTATAGATAGGGACTCTGGGGCAAGTGATGCTCTGTCCTCTTGGTGCTTGGGGGGGTCAACAGTGGGATGGCTTCTAATGTCCTGGCCCCACTGGTGGACCTCCTGATGGCACTGGTATTTTTGGCCACTGTGTGATACAGAGTGTTGGACTGGATGGGCCTTTGGTCTGATCCAACATTGGCATCTCTTATGTTCTTATGTTCTTAATGCGATGGGTGAACCACATCAATCTTCCCAGCTTTGGTTTAAGTCCTATTGAAATGCACTAGACTTTGATAAATTTTGGGATTGTTGCTAGGAACAGTCCTGAATTGGCTGTTGTCTTTTTTTATAGGCCAGAAGACATGTTTTCTCTGTTTGGTAAACATGCTCAGCATTACACAGCTATTATCTTCGAGACAGCAAACTCTTATGTTGGGCGAGAGGTAATGTAAACAATTGTTTACTTAAAATACTAAGTATTTGTTGTTATAAACAACAAATTATCTCCAAATGTCAACAATTTATACTCTTCACCTTTTAGTTTGAGTCCCTGTATTTGTTCATTTCCCCTTACTAGTTCATTGAATGTTTGTAATGCAAATATGAATAACAAGGGAGCAACTTGAACATATGGAGTCCACATTTACTGCATGGTCCTTTGGTCTCCTAAAATGGCAATCATTTCCTTACATACCTTCACTTTCAAGCTCTAACCTATTCCAATCAAGATGATTCAGACCAGTTCCACAACAAAAGGAGGAGTAAGAGTGAACAGTGGAAAGAAGTATAGCTCTTTGCAGAGGCCACCGTGCCCGTTGCAAGAGAAACCCCACCGGGAGTCATAAACATTCAGCTTATCTGTCTAGTACATTTTTATTCTCCTCCCCCTCCAAGGAACTCCTAACGGCTTCCTCCTTCTGTCCTGGGAGCAACCCCCAGAGAGGAAGTGGGAGTGGCCCACGGTTACCCAGTGAGCTTCTTTTTTTTTTTTTTTAAACCCAGTGAGCTTCATGGCCAGGTTTTAATCTGAGCCTCCCAGATCCTCATGCTACACCCCAGACACGCCACACTACACATTTTGGCTAAAGAGTAAGGAATTTGTTGTGTGCTATTTTCAAAAATAATAGAATGTTGAATATTTAAATCAACAATGAGTGCTGATTATTACAATTTAGCTCCAAAACAACTGATAAAATATTTGGGAATCTACATTAATGAATTACTACAACCTAGATTAAAGGTAAACTCTCTTTATGGCAAATATTGAAGGTGTCTTAATTAGGCAGAATTAATGTCATAAAAATTGTAATTTTATCCAAATTGATCTTTGTTTTAAAATGTACCTGTCTGCATCCAAGACATGTTATTATGACAAGAATGGCAGAAATTATTTGATGACTTTATCTGGATAAAAGTTTTTTGTGAATTTGTGAGTTTTCTGCATTATGCAGGGGATTCGACTAGGTGACCCCCCCAAAACTCTATGATCAGGGGGGGAAACGGGGGGAATGTAGCATTATATTCCCAAGCTGCTGGACAGGTGGCTTTCAGCATAGTCCATGATAGGTGATGCTAGGCATGATGTGGTTGCTATGGAGCAAAACTTTGTCTCCATGCCACTGAAGACCTGACTTTTGTTAAAGAGCCTAGAAAGGGCTCTTTACACTACACACGTGGCAATTGTGCCTTACTGAATGCATTTTAAAAACAAGGTATAATCTGCATTGAGGAACTATCCTCACATACTTCCCCATTATTATAAGCTGCAAGGGAACTGATGGTGAGGGTGGTACATATCTTGTGGCATTCAGTTTAAGGGAGTTGGGAGCCAGAACTACTTTTGCTCTGTTATGTTGTTTCCATTCCAAATAACCAACAGGTGATTGTACTTGATATAGTTACAGCAGTTAGGCATTTCTTTGCAGAAATCTAGAGGTAGGAAACAATTCATCAGAAAAAGACTGGTTGGAGAAACCGTGTGTTTTATTGTGACTTTTAGTTTGTGAAAACAGTGGTGTTACACTTAACAGTAGAAAAATAAATAAATAAATAAAATAGAAAAAGAAAATCCACTGTATGGAGACATCCTTAGCTGAAGTATAATGTTCACACAATCACAAGATAAATGTTCTTTATGTTTGAACTTTAAGTTTGAAAGGCATGTTTGAACTTGGTATTTTTTCAAAGTGTTACTAAACTTTAAGCAACATCAGTAAGGTGTGTTTCCTTGTGTGTTTTTTTACCTAGGTGATCCTAGACCTGATTCAGTATGAAAACATTGTTGTGAAGCGAATGCTGAATTCAGAGACCAGTGTTCTCAAGCAGCTCGGTATTATCTCATTCCCTTCATCGTATCTGATCTATCCAAATGGATCCCATGGATTAATTAACATGTGAGTATTAATGTGGAAAGGTTTGGACATAGGGCTTCAGGGACTTTGGAGCAGTTGCCTTAACTTTCTGTTCTGATTTTCTTACTCATTTTACAAGCTGCTTCTTTTTTCCGAATAGTATTTTGTAGGCACGGAGCAAACACATGACATGGGTGCCATAGTCCACTGGGCCCCATAGTTATGTGGGAGCCTCATTTAAATAGCTGGAAGCTTGACGGACAGAAGGACTATGCCTTTAATGAAGCCAATTGAGCCAAGCTGTGTGGTCAGATAAAAATAAACTTTTAAAATATTAAAATTAGTTTTAACAATTTAAATTACATGTTATGTATTTAGTCTGTCGTTTTAAAGAGCAAGGTCCTGGAAAGAGACTGTCGCCATCACCTACTGAGTCCCTCTCCTAACCTTGTGGATTGATATGTTGAGGGTAGATAGATTTGTTGTTAGGTAACCTGAGTTATGTTGTGGTTTGACAGTTTACTTTTTTTTTTTTTACATGGGAAAGCATTATTGAGTCTGCAGTGATCAGAGAAAAGTACGCTAAAAGTGCACAACCAAACAAAGATATCCTGGTGCAAATTAAATCTGAAAGTGAGCATGTTAAAGCTAAAGTTATGGTTTCTCAACAAGGAATCAATAGCTGGCTCTCTACTATACACTGAGCTAAAGGTTGCTTTTCTTTAGTAACAAAGAACTAATTTGCTCAGTTCTCAAATTTACTGTAAGCAGAGGACCCCCAAGGAGTTGAAAGGGTTGTGTCATTTTCCCTTCCCCCATTACTTCCTTTCCCTGAAAGCCCCCATAACTTCTGCCCTTTTACCGCTTCCTTCTCTCCTTCCCAGCCACCAGCCATCCTACCTTTATCTGCCCCCCCAAAAAAAAATCTTCTGTTTTTCCTCCTTCATTTGCCTCTACCTAGGAAAACTGTATCCCAGTTATGTGGTTGGGAACCTGCAAGGACTTTCCCCATATACCCTTCTCCACACTGTTTCCTTTTCCCCTCCTCCCGGTAAGCCCCATAGGCTCTCCCTTTTTCTGCTTACCTCTCTCCTTCCCACCCACCTGTTCCTCATCTTCACCTATATGTATTATTTACTTCATTTATACTCCTCCTTTCTCCCCGGTGGTGACCCAAAGCAGATTACATCATTTCCCTCTCCTCCATTTCTATCCCTGCAACAGCTCTGTGAGGTAAATTAGGCTGAGAGAGAGTGACTGGCTCAAGGCCACCCAGTTAGCTTCCGTGGGAGAGTGGTGATTCGAACATGGGTCTTCCAGATCCTAGTCTGAAACTCAAACCACTACACCATACTGGCTTATGCGAAGTGGCTGCTGTTGAGCCGTACCAAGCAGCCAGTTCTGACTGAGTCATGCAAGTCACGTGGTATCAAGTCCCCTGGTGGTTGCTGGCAGGCCCAATGGATCTTCCTTGAAAAGGCCAAAGTGGCCCTGGAAAGAAACCAAGGCTTTAAGAAGAGAAGAAGAAGAAGAAGGGATTGGATTTATATCCCATGGCCCTTCACTACCCAAAGGAGTCTCAGAGCGGCTTACAAACTCCTTTCCCTTCCCCTCCCCACAACAGACACCCTGTGAGGTAGGGGGGGCTGAGAGAGCGCTGACAGAAACTGCTCTTTTTTCAAGAACAGCTCTTGTCAGAACTACGGCTTGCCCAAGGTCATCCAGCCAGGTGCAAGTGGAGGAGTGGGGAATCAAACCCGGTTCTCCCAGATTAGAGTCAGCGCACTTAACCACTACACCAAACTGGCTCTCACAGGTATATAAAGCACTATTAACTGATCCGATATTTATATTCACCCCATCTCAAAAAGCTTGGCACAAAGACCTAAAGAGAACTCTCACAGAAAAACAATGGTTGCAAATCTGGAGTTCTTCAATTTAGCAGGATCGGAGCAGGATCTTTCAGAAGAACGTAACCCGTGATCTTTTGGATTTCGAGGAGGACCTCTGACCAGAAGTTACAGATATGGGGACATAGCCACCAGCAATGGAAGAATGTTCCCTGGATTCCGCATAACTTCCAACATAGAGGAGGTTGTGACAGGATAATATGCGATAATTTGTTTGGAGTTAAATACCACCTAAGTAGAAGTTTGAATACCTGTGTCTGAATCGGAATAGATCTTGAAGTGTAAATTGAATCTTGAAGTGTAAATTAGCTCGAGAACTTTGCGCAATCATCCTACTATTGCCTGTCTCTTGCTGCTGGAGCAGGGCCAGCTCCGCCCACTAGGTGATCCCGTAAATAGTTTATAAACGAGTCAAGACTATTTTTTTAATCTCTGAGGCTATCTTCAAAATAGTTGGCTTTTCCCTCACTTCCACTGAGTTTAGACAGAGCTGGAGCCTCATGGGCTGGAGCAATATATTTATTACTAGCTGAAAAATTCAATAAATCATCAATTTGCCGAAAAAACAAATATAAAAGGTGATATAAATAAAGATTATATGCCGACCTATTCCCCCTTCCCCGTGCTGCTGCTCGTTTCACAGAAGACTTTTCAAATCAGAATGACAGCTAACAGCCCTGACTTCTTTTCACAGGTTAACAAACTAGCTAAGCAAGCCAGTTAATTAAGTCTAACCTAGGTTGAAAAAGCTAAAAATAAACTTAGTGTTAAATAACTGAACAACTGAAAGAAAAGAAAAAGAAATAAGAAAGGGGAGTTTACAGAGAAACAGGAGCTTTACAGCTAACAGCCCTGACTCCTGCTAAAAAGGAAAAAAGAAGAGGGAAAACAAAATAAGGAGTGACAGAAAAAGCTGAAAAACAAAGATAAAGTATAGCATAAAATTAATAAGTGTCTGATAAAGGTATTAGGTGTGGACTACACTGCAGCTTTACATATGTCGGGAAGTGGGACACCCTTCAGTTAGGCTGTCGAAGTAGCCATTGCTCTCGTGGAATGAGCACAGAGAGGACCAGGAAGAGAGTGCTTAGCTAGAAGATAACAAAAATGGATAACCCTGACAATCCATTTGGAGAGCCGTTGGGCAGTGATCTTGGTCCCTATCCTATTAGCAGCATAGGACAAAAAAGTCATGGATCCCAGCGGGTAGGCTGTGTACGTTGTAAGTAGAATGAAAGTGCCCGCTTAACATCTGAAGAATGTAAAAGATGCTCTCCATCATCCTTGGGATTAGGGAAGAAGTCTGATAGGAAGACATCGGAATGGAGGTGAAACTTAGGCAGGAAGGAAACGTCAGGAGCCAAGCGCACACCATTTGGTAAAAAGCAGAGGTATGAAGGATCGTGCTGGAGGGAAAGGATTTCACCAACCCGCCTGGCAGAGGTGATCACGACTAGAAACACGGTCTTCCAGGAAAGGTATTTGAGCTCACGCGTAGCCAGTGGTTCAAAAGGCTTTCTAGTGAGCTGACATAACACCAATGGAAAGTCCCAAGGCTGAGTTGGAAGACTGATTGGTGGATACAGGTGAAGAAGGCCCCATAGGAAACGTTTGGAAAGCGGATGAGAAAAAAATCGAGAAACCATCGACCATACTGTGATGGGCAGAGATGGTTGCTAAACAGACCCGGAGAGATAGGCCAGCATCGGCTAACGAAAGCAGAAATTCAAAGATGCAGCCAAGACTCACAGAGATAGGTTGAAGCGAGGATCCTAGAAATGAAAGAAATCTGGACCACTTGTAGGCATACGACTTGTGAGTAGCTGGCTTATGGGAATTTAGCAGAACCTCCGAGACACGGTCGGAGAAAGAGGGCAAGTTATCCTCCAAGCAGTCAATTTCAACCAGGGAATGTCGTGGTAGTGGAGGGCGGATGCTATTAATCACTTCCTGAGCAATGCGCCTTCCTCTTTGGATGGTTGGGGTACCAGTTCTGTTCCTTCTCTCCTATCTCATAATGAAGGATGATAGGGATTGCATGGACTGCATTCTTATCTGTGCATACTGATCGTATCAACATCAGTTACCCAGTGTTCTGCAACTGTCCACCAACAGGGTCCACTAACCTTAGAATCAGAGAAAGCCCTACATTCTCTGGATGTTGGAACAACTCTGTCTTTCTATGTTGATTTTACATACTTTTTAAAATAAAGGACAAGGGCTTATACTTCTTTTACTCAGGTCCAAAGAAAGGACCATGAGTGCCTTTTGCTGGGTCGCTATGTTTTCCTTGAACACTCCAGACCTCATTCCACCTGAGTTGTTGCCGTATCTTTAGCCTTCATCAAAGCAGTCTCTCTTCCTGAGTGCTGCAGAACAGCCACTTGGGCTCAGCCACTTGGCCAGAGTGCCTTGGCCATAGTTAAAGCAGATGCAACCTTTGAAAGGTTAGTACTCAGCGCTCTTTGCTGCTAGATATACCTGTACTTGTCTCCAGGTAGTCACCTTGCTAGTTTACTACATCCATTGGTGTGATGCACAGAGACTGTGAAGAAGTAAAAGTGGGTCGCTTACTTGTAATTTGTTCTCTGAATTGTCATCAGCACATTCACGTGACCCGCCTGCCTTCCCTGCAACAGGTACTTTTACTTTGCTACAGTACATTTTGGAAGGAGCTTGAGTGGGGCAGTGTGACTTTGTCCCCTTGGACTTGCACAGTTTTCATCTCTGAGTGGCAGAGTTCCTCACACCTAAAAGCTAGTTTTAGACGTTGTCATGGCTCAGGTGGGGTGTCATCTGACGCTGCCACCACTCTGGATTTAGGATCCCTTGAGAAGGCCCAGAGCACTCTCTCAAGACCTTCTGACCTCCCTTTTGGCTGAATAATAGGCGTGAGGACCAGGCAGAGTACAACAAGGAAAAGGTTTATTTTATAGGAGGTCAAACACGGTGCAGAATAATAACAGTAAGTGGGTGAAAAGAAAAGAAATCAAATGCCCTAACGCGTCTAAATATATACTGTCCCTTGCTCACTATCTCAAGTGGCCTTACACTACTCACCCCTCCCTCGGGATGAGGGTCTCTCCCCTGCAGCAGCCTTCCTCATGGCTCTGCCCTCTGGGAAGAAGAACAGCTTCTGCTCTGGCACTAGCCCTTTTGTTCCCCAGCCCTCTTCTTCCGTATTGGTCAGTTTTGGCTCTAAAACCTCTCAGGGGCTTCTGGGAGTTGTAGGCCCAGCCTCACCTACTGCCAGCCAGGCTCCCTGGGCCTAGTAGGCCTCTGGTGGCACAGCCCAGATCATGACAGACGTTTTGAGTCATGGCTGTGTGCGGGCGCAAACCCCATCAGTATGAATGCATAAATGACCACTTGAGTGGGTAAACAGCCTGTTCTCTCAGAAGCGAAACCCCTGCAGATTGTTCCTGTAACTGCTAATAAATGTTCTTGACACTCTGATGTGATTGCCAAACGGAAGACAAAATATCAGGAGGTTCAAATTTTATTGTGTCCAATGGGTTGGTATCTCAGGGCTTATTTCACTAGCTTGTACTATTTCTATTTCTTTTTCTATACCATTTCCAAAATTTACTAAGTGACGAAGGAAAATTAGCATAACGATGTGACTGTCTAGCAAAATGAAGCTTCTGATTTCTGTAGATGCTGTTATTCCTCTCAGTTATCTTTATCTGGGGTTTTAGTCTTAACCTTTATACTGTCCTTCTACACACAGTTTGAAGCCTCTCCGGTCTTTCTTTTCTTCCTATTTAAAGTCACTGCCTGGTGTTAGAAGAAAACTTTCTTCGCAGCTCCCAGTTCCAATCAGGCAAAACAAAGAAGAAAATACAGATCCCAAGGAGTGGAGAGAGTATGACAAGTAAGCAAGCAGGGCTCAGGTCCCGCTGATTAAAGTAGACGCTTTGGTGCGCTTCAGGTGGGGGCAGCCGTGTGGGTCTGAAGCAGCAGAACAGAGCTTGGGTCCAGTCAGGTGCCTTGAAGACCAACAAAGTTTTCCTCTGGGTAGAAGCTTCCGTAGTCACACACACCCAGGTGCAGCGTGTGGGCACACAAAAGCCTTGTGCCCAGAATAAAACTTTGTTGGTCTTAAAGGTGCCACTGCCTGCAAACTTTGTTCATTTAATGCTTATTAGTGATGGGCAAACCTCTTGCTCAATTTTGCTAGCTTCCTTTGAGTTCTTGAAATGGTTAAACAAACTGTTTGTGGCATACTGAAGGGGGGAAAGGGGCAAAAACTGCACAGGGTTGAACCAAGTGCAAGCCCTCTGTGCTTGCGGAAAAGAAGCCCCCAGCCTGGGCAAAGTCTTGATTTCAAGCATGGGATGAGCAGTTTGGTATGTCAGGGGAGGTCTACAGTGGCAGTGGCCTTGGAGTAGGACTGAGCAAAGCTTATTTATTGCAATATTTGTACCCTGCTGTTCTTGGCTCATGTTGTTGTAGCCTTGTTCCAACTTAAGTGGCTCTTCTGTGTTGGGGGAAGGCTACTTGGAGGGAGGGCTGGATCCATCCTGCTGTTTAGAATGTGTTTGGTTCTGAGTGTTCAGAAATCTTGTTTTCCTGACCTGCACCAACAACTTTTTCCCCCCAGATCAAAGCTGTATATGGCTGACCTTGAGTCCGGGTTGCATTACCTGCTCAGGGTAGAGCTTGCTACACACAGAACTCTTGAGGGAGCGGCACTAAAGACTTTCAAGGATTTTGTTACACTCCTTGCCAAGGTAAAAAAATATTGGCCTGTTGATTGTATTTGTAAGAGGGCCATAAATTGTCTTTCTAAGCCTCTAATAAAGAAAACTTTGATACCTTTTATGTGGAGGGAGAAGAGTGATTAATAATTGCTAAATTCACAGTCTGTTACAAAGGTCAGGTAAAACCATAGTTGAATCTTTCTGACTTATGTGAGAAAGTTGCTGTTGTCCTTTGAGATCAGGTATGCCCTAGACATACACTTGTGCTCATCTTTTTATCTTTTTAATGTTGACAAAAACGCTCCATCTGTCTCCCTCCTCTAAACTCATGCTGTATCTTGGTAGTATTCAAGGCAGGTACATTGCTTCATTACTCTGGAGTAAGCTGGACAAACATGTCCCCCAAAATGGCCTCTGTCTCTGGCCTGGGAACAGGGCTAGACCTGCCTCTGTTTCTTGCAAGCTCCAACCAACTGGCTTCCTGCCCCAAAACTTAATCATATAAACAGCAGTTCCCTTCTGCAGCATTCTGGGGCAGATCTCCTCATCACCTTGATGGATTTCTTCTCCATCACAATCTCACCTAATGAGTGTTCCATTCAAAAGCATGAAACTCTTTTGTGAGTCTCTTTGAATCATAGAATCGGAAGGGACCTCCAGGGTCATTTAGTCCAACCCCCTGCACAATGCAGGAAATGCACAAATACCTCCTCCACATCCCCTCCACACCCGCAGTGACCGCTATTCCATGCCCAGAAGATGACAAAAATTTTCCAGGATCCCTGGCCAAACTGGCCTGGAGAAAAATTGCTTCCTGACCCCAAAGTGGTGATCAGCATTTCCCTGGGCATGTAAGGAAGGGCCACAAAAACTAAGCACTGATGCAACCCTTCCTGCCCTCCCTCTCCTGATCTGCCTAAGTTCACAGAATCTGCATTGCTGTCAGATGGGGCCATCTAGCCTCTGTTTGAAAACCTCCAAGGAAGGAGATCCTATTCTGGTGGATACCAAAGCTAAGAAAGCCATTATTCTGGAGAGCCAGTTTGGTGTAGTGGTTAAGTGCACGGACTTTAATCTTGGGAGAACCGGGTTTGATTCCCCACTCCTCCTCCACTTGCACCTGGCTGGATGACCTTGGGCAAGCCGTAGTTCTGATAAGAGATGTTCTTGAAAAAGAGCAGTTTCTGTCAAGAGCTCTCTCAGCCCCACCTACCTCACAGGGTGTCTGTTGTGGGGAGGGGAAGGGAAAGGAGTTTGTAAGCCACTCTGAGATGCTCTTGGGTAGTGAAGGGCGGGGTATAAATCCAATCTCTTCTTCTCTTCCTCTTCTTTTCTACACAGGCAATAAGATGGTGGTGGAAAGTGCTGTCAAGGCTGACTTATGACTAGGGATGGACACAAACCACATTTTTGTGATTCAGTTTGTGGCTGAATCACAAATTGATACACCAGTTCACAAACCAAATAGGTTTGTGAGCCATTTAAAGTTTAAACCCCTGCTTTCTGTTCCCCACAACTTATGGGTGGGGAGCTGAAAGCAGGGTTTCCAAACAGCTGAGTGGCGGGGACCGCTCATCAGCCATTTGGTTTAAATGACTTGGAAACATATAAAGCAAATGGCTGAGTGGTGGTCTGTGCTGCTCAGCTGTTTGGAAATCCCTGCTTTCTGCTCCCTGTAGCTTTTTATGGGAAGCAAAAATCAGTGGTTTAAATGGGTCTGAGCCATTTAAACTAAACAGCTGAGTGGCAGGGAGTTCTCTACCTCTCAGCTGTTTTTCATGAAAGCAGAAACCCCTGCTTTCTGCTCTCCATGAACTACCATGAGCTATATTAAAATTTGTGGAAGTTCGTGGTGGTTCTACAGTTCGCAAACATCACTTTACGAACCGGCCAAAGTTCATGATGAACTTTAGTTTGTCAGCCTGTTCGTGCTCATCCCTACTTATGGCCTCCCCATAGGGCTTTCAAGGCAGGAGACATTCAGAGGTGGTTTGCCATTGCCTGTCACTGCATCATGACCCTGGTATTCCTTGGGGGTCTCCCATCCAAATATTAGCCAGGGCCAATCCTACTTAACTTCCAAGATCAGGCTGTCCTGGTTGGGGTGGGCAATAAGGTAGCATTGTAAAAAATAGTTCACAATTGTTAAGGACTGTGGTCTATACTGCTGTGTATAGCTTGTTGTAACTTGGATCCTGCTATGTAATCTTGCATCAGTTTATGTGTTGTTAGCAGTTTTGCCATGCTTCAGTTCTGATTTTTAGATTTCTGGTTCTACAACCCAAATCCTATTTCATTGTTTATTGAATGTTCCATTGTTGGTTGTATTGACTCATTCTGTGCAGTCTGCTTTGATTCCCAATGAGAAAGGTGGACTATAAACGATTTATAGCCCGCCCTGAGCCTGCTATGTGGGGAGGGTGGGCTATAAATTTAATAAATAAATAATATTCTGTTCTTACTTCATTGCGCTGTTGGATTCATCTTGAATATCAGCAGTCCAGCTATCCAGACTTTTCTGAGATCTTTCCCAAAACATTGCAGCAAAACAGGATTGGGAATGATCAGAGAGAACCTGTGGGGTGAATGAATGTTCCAGAATCAGGAGGGGGGGGGACCTGTGGCCAATAACCTTTGTGGAGAAGGTCTTAATGTATAGGTTAAACCACCTTATATCCTGGGAACAGAGCTTAAAGGTGTGTCTGATCTCCTCTTTCTCACAGTTATTTCCTGGCCGTCAGCCTGTGATAAAGCTGTTGGAAACTTTGCAAATGTGGCTGGTGAGCCTCCCCTTAGACAGAATCCCTTATGATGCCATTCTTGATCTCGTCAACAACAGAATGCGGGTAAGTCAGTACTGGGTCTCAGAACAGAACGCAGCATTGGTAAAGGATGCATTTCGCGTTGCAAGACACTGCTGCCCGGTCCTTCCCCCCCCCCTTCCCAGTGAGAACGGAACTCCCCCCAGGCCCTGCACCATGGCTCCCAGGAGCCTCCTCTACCGCAGCCTCGCTTCTGTGATGCAGGCAGGCGCGTGCAGTACCCGTCTTAGCTTGGAGTGTATTTCTCAATAAACAAATCCCTGCCAGAGTGTTGTTGAGAATAACTTTGTCCAAGCGTCTGACAACCTGTCTGCTCCAAAGGGGCACATCATAGGGAAGCATCCCCCCCCATGTGTGATTTCGAAGTCCTGGTCTAAAATTCTGGTTTGCTTGCAAGAAAACCATGAGTATGCTGGAGTTTCTCGTGAGTAAACAAAAGTATAAAAATAGTATGATTTACTAAACCATGACAGATGTGAGGCAGTTGGAAACATGTCAGAAAGCCAGAAGGATAGAAACAGAGGGACAGTTATAAATGGTCATGATTTTTCAACTCCTGGCTTTCGAGTCCAATTTCCCCCAAAGCTGATTCACATATATCTGCACAAGCAGTCCTTTTTACCATTATTGAGTGTGTTTAGGCATGAAATTTTATGGGTCTTTCACCCTTTTTAGATTTCTGGACCCTTTCTCACCAGCCGCATCCAGTGGGTTGGCTGCCAGGGCAGTAAGCCAGAGCTCAGGGGCTACCCTTGTTCTTTTTGGAAGCTGTTCCACACATTAACAGTTCAAGCGGCGGTCCACCCAGAGGCCTTGCATAAGACAGGTAAGAGACAGCCAGAAGTGTGTGTGTGCGTGTGTGTGTGGGGGGGGGGGGAGATTAACCATGGTGGACACTTTTATTTATTGAGATGTTTATATCCTGCCTCTCCAGAGGCTGACAGTATGCAAAAATTAAAATCTGTTGTTTACATTATTTATAAATCTGCCTTTCTCATTGAAATTCAAGATGGTTTCAGTCTGTGCAATCAACAGAATTAGACATCTGATAAGTAAAGTAATAGGGCTGTGATTGAAGAAATCTGAAAATGGGCATAAGTATTAGACATGATAACAATGCCAAAAAGTATAATGAGATAGGTGGATAACATTGTAGCTTAGGCCACAGTCACACACCCATCACTGGATCATCTTCTTTACCATTGCATCATAATATAGTCTTATTCTTTGATTTACTTTGTGCTGTTATGGCCAATGGCTAAGACAATAAACGAAACTTGAACTTGAAACTTGAATATAGTCTTATTGCTCTTATAAAAATGTCCTCCGGAACAGTTTTGTTTTACATAGTTGGCGGAATTCCAGAAGCCTTCCGGACCTTCCCAGACAGGCCATTCCACAAGGCCACAACAGAGGACGCATGTGTATGGGCACTTGTTGATCACACCCATTTGCAGGGAGATACCTGTAGAAGTCCCTGCTCAGATAATCAGAGCTCTCATGGTGGAGAATAAGGGGACAGGCGGGCCTGCACATGTGAGACTCTAAGGCCATGAGGGCTTTCCCTGCTCTCACTGGTAGCTTGCCTGGTAGCTGATGGTGCAGCCAGTGGAGTGACTGCAGAACAAGTATAATATGCATGCTCTGCATAGCTCAGGATAATAACTGATAAGCAGCATTTTGTGCCCCACTGAAATCTCTGAGCTGATGTTAAGGGCAGATCCATGTAGAGCACATTATAGTATTCTAGTCTTGATGTAACTGTAGCATGGATTCAGGTGGCCAGATCGGCTGAGTCTAGGCAGGGGGGCCATCTGCTGGGCTAAACAGAGTTTGAAGAAAGCATTTTTTGCATCTGCATTAACTTGCTTCTCCAGGAAATGCTAGGTCCAGTATAGCCCCTAGTTTCTTAACCAAGTCAGATGAACTCCATCAAAAGTGGGAACGGAAGCACAATGTGCTTCAAGACCTCAAACTTCCCAACCAGCATTACATCCATCTTGTCAGAATTCAGTTTTAATTTGTTCACTCTCAGTCATTTAACCACAGGAGTCAGGCATTGGTTCAAGAACTCTACTGCATCATCAGGAGATTTGGATAGAGAGATACAGAGCTGGGTGTCATCGGCATACATAATTCAGTTTTATAAATCTACTAACAGTAAAGTTCGTTGTGAAAGCAATACAACGAGCTCTAGAAATATATGATGATGATAATAATAATAATAATACTTTCGTTTTATTGATCGCTTTTTCCACACACCTGCGGGCAGTAGCAAGGCTGCCCCTGTCCCAGCAACCCCCCCCCCCATGCTCCCACTCCTCCTCCTTCAGGCAAGCGCCGTGGTTCCACGCACCGCAGTCACCCCCCAGGTGCTTGTCAGTGATAGGCCTCTCAGGGGCGGCAATGATGGCCACCTAGAGCATCGAGGGGGGGGATCTGAAGCGGGTCAAGGTGGAGTGATTATCTGCGTTGCGGGGGCGGCGGGGGGCGGCGGGGGGGGGGGGGGTCTGAAGCGGGGCGAACCGTAGTCTGTGTTCTGAGGGGACCGGGCACAGCGGCAAGGCTGGAGTGTCCGTGTTCTGAGGGTACCCGATGCACTGTGAGGCAAATTTTCGTGGGCGCAGGCCATGCAGCCAATGGGATAGGGGAAGCTGGGGAAGCCTGTGAGCCCAACCAGTTCGGGAGCATGTAGAATGTTCTCGAGTGTGCCACCACCAACAGAAAATTATACTATAGAGAGAGAGAGTTTCTATTTATTTATAACATTTTTCATGCCACCTTCCCAACTGATCAGGATCCCCAAGGCAGTGGATAGTTTGAATAGCATGGTAGATAAGACTACAGCTTGTGGAACCGCATAGGACAAATCCCATTTTGATGATAGCTCTCTAATGACAACCTTTTGAGTGTGGGCTGTACAGAACTGTTTGAACCAATCCAGAGCACAACCCCTTATATCTACTTCTGCCTCAAGAAGGTGGCCCACTGTATCAAAGGTTGCAGATAAATCCAGAAGGACAAACAATGAGGTGTGGCCTTTAAAAGAAAGGGTTCTCTCCCTATTCAAATGGTGATTATCCACTAATAGATGTGCTTAAAGATGGACCATGAGGCCAAAAGACCCCATTCCCACTCATCCACAATCCCATCTTCCTTTGTTGGAAGAAGGGGACAGGAGACCAACCCTTCAACAACTAAGTTATACCAATTAGTGGTTAGTCTTCTCTCTCAATTTTGTACTTTCCTTTTCTACGCATTGTACTGATAAGCTAATAAAAGCTACAGACTGCAATTCTAGGCATGCTTACTTGAGAACAGTTCTTAAGAAAAACATGAGAATGAGTCTAATATGGACTCTGCAAGTAGAATAGGGATTCAGTCCTTCTTCCTGGGAATAAGGTTATTGAATAAAATGGGACTTGCATCTGTGGAAACCAGCTTAGGGGGAAGTCTGGGAGGACAAAACGCACCCTCCCCCAGTAAAGTGCTCATTCCAGTCCCTCTGAATGTCATTGTAGTGTGGGGGTTGTCATTGCAGACCTTGGGGACTGAAAAATGCAGTCCTACGATGGTTTACTCAGAAATAATGCCCATTTTATTTAACATCTAGGAAAGAGGATTGCAGCTTATGCTACCTTCAGGCACTGTGTTTGACCCATTCCCTTGGTTTTTGTGATCCCTTCCTTGTTTTACTTGCACCTTTTCAACGGAGGGAGCAAGGCAGTTGTCAGCTGCAAGTGCTGCTTGTAGGCATCAGGTTCACCAGGAGATCAGGCTACTAATGAATTCATCCCAAGATCAGCTCACCAGATTTGCTGCCTTCAGTTCAATCGAGCGAACTATGTTGTGGTGAAGATTGTAGCATCTTGTACTGCCAGTTTGGTTTTGTGGTTAAGTGCACAGACTCTAATCTGGGAGAACCGGGTTTGATTCCCCACTCTTCCACTTGCACCTGGCTGGATGACCTTGGGCAAGCCATAGTTCTGATAAGAGCTGTACTTGAAAAAAAGCAATTTCTGTCAAGAGCTCTCTCAGCCCCACCTACCTCCCCGGGTGTCTGTTGTGGGGAGGGGAAGGGACAGGAGATTGTAAGCCGCTCTGAGACACCCTTTGGGTAGTGAAGGACGGGGTATAAATCCAATCTCTTCTTCTTCTTCTTAGTGTACACCAGTCAGCATATAGGTGACTGCTGGTTTTGCAGTAATAGACTTTGGCTATGTTTTGCAGTAATAGACGTTTCAAGGATAGTTTCTAGGGCCACCCCACAGAGAACCTGTTATAGTAATCCAACCAGGAAATTAGAAAAACATAGCAAATTCAGGATAATTTATGAACCAGATGAAGACAATACAAGGCACTCCTAGCAACAATACTAACCTGCTCCTGTAAGAGCAATGCTGGGTTCCAAAGCTGTTTTCTGATCTGGTACATCTCACTGCCCAAATCTGGCCTCAGGAGCATCTGGCTTCCATGCCAGCATCACTTCTGTCTTGTCTAGATTCAGCTTCAGTTTGTTCCCCCCCCCCATCCAAAAAGAGTGTCAAAACTGCAAGCTTTGTTAAAGATGGATAGCTGAGCGTCATTGGCCTGTTGTTGATACTCCACTGCAAAGCTGAGAATGAGCTTATTCAGAAGCCTCACGTAAGTGTTGAAAAGCATACGGGAAGGCTCTGAGCATTTGAGAACATCACACATCAACTCCCAAGAGAACAACTCTGTTCCCCTAATAGAAAATCTTTGCAGTCTGTCTGAGAGGACCATTCCAGAAACTCCAGGGGGTCCTTTTCGTCCAGTGTAAGAAGAAGGCACAAACAAATCTGAATTTCAGGCCACATCCACAGCTACCCGCGGCAGGAATCAAGTCATTTCAGGGCAGCGGCAGTGGCACACGGAATCTGCCCATGTTGGTATCTCGATCCTGCAGGCAACAGACAGGGCTGGGAGAAGGCTTGTCCTGCTTTCGGAAACTCCATAGTCGTTTGTTGTCAGTTTCCATCTTCAGAATGTGGCCGTGTTCAGAGTCACAAATGAAAGGCAACTAGAGTAGTTTTAAGATGGACATCTGTTCTGAAGGAACACACTTTCCCTTGTTTTGGTGTAAGCAGATGCAGGAGTTACCCAGGTCAGCTCATGTGACACGGGGCCTCACTATTTCAATCTAGTTGCATTAGACCTTGCCTTGCTGCATTTTAAAGCAAGGCTGAAACACTGAAGGGTACTTTTCTGGATCCCGTGTTTGTGTTTGTGTGTCTCGAGCATACTGAGCCACCCGTTTAAACCAGGCCATATTTTTGATGATCATGTCTTACGGCAAAAGAATTGGGTCACCCTCAGGCTGCCGGATTATGTCTTGGGAGGTTTTCCTCTCCTTATTGCTTGTTTTAAATCCCATCTACTAAAAAGCCTGATTGCCTAATCCTTCTCATCACAGGTGGGGTTTTATGATTCTTGCCCACTTTAAAGATTAGGGTTACCCTGAATTGCAACAGTTTTGAGAGGAAAGAGAAAAGAGAGATTACACTATGGGAGGTTCAGCAGCTGTTTATGGAAGAAGCAGCCCTTGGCTGATAACCAAAACACAAATCCAAGAAATGGGGAGTGCAGTAGAAAGGTGTTCATGCCAGTGATCTGGATGCTTCAGAGAAAATGCTCCATGCTTTTCCACAAGTAACTTCTTTTATATTTTGCTAGATATGTTTGCCTCAGTTTTACTCCCTAGAATCCTTGTGGAAAAGAATTCAACCTTTTCTGAAGTAACTCTGCAGTGAGAATTTGAATTGAGCCACTCAGTACTAATAGAGCCGCCTAAAATGATCTCACCTGCCTCTCAGAGTGATTGTGAAGAGAAAGTGGGGAAGGGAGAATGATGTCTGTAGCCCTGAGCAGAATAAAGACATAATAAATACTCATTTATTTGTACCCTACTTTCCTCCTCACGGGGGACCCAAAGTAACTTAAGGCACCATTTGCCCCTCTTCTTTTCTATAAAGGGAGCTGCTTGCAGAAGCCGCCCAAATCTTCTGGTTTATAATAAAATGTTTTCCATGACTTAATTTCCATCCAGGAATGTCCCCAGTAGCCTCTGTCGTAACGGGCACCCCCCCCCCGAGCTTGTTAGATGTGCCGGGTCTGTCACTGGGGGGGGAGGGCCGTCTCTCACAGCCCCTAGTAGGAACCCCTGAGGGCAGTGAGCGATCCTGACCCCCGGGGCAGATATGGGGAGATAATCACCAGGCCAGCCCCGGCTACGGTTTGGAGTATACACGTCAAGGGACATATAACAAGAAGTCCCTTCAGATCCCCTGCTCTTGGGTAGAGCTGCCACCATATTGGGGCTTAACTCTTGGTGGCCCTGATGGATGCCTCCGAATATCCTGAGCCTTGGTGGTCAGAGCAGATGAGTGAGAGAGAGAAGCCCTTTCTGCCCCAGGATGGAGAACTGGGTGACTTCCTTATTTCTGGCAAGGCAGCTGCCTCCCCCACTCCCCAGGTTTCCCTTTTCATCACACGGCATGAGTCTAGAAGGCGTCCACGGGGAAAGCCCCGCCTTGGCAGGAAAATGTTTGTTTTAAAGGGCGGGGCAGGTGGGGGGATCCTCCAGAATCACTAAAAGGGCGTTTGGGCAGTGTTTTGGATAGTTGAAGCAAGTCATAATAGTTTATTTTTATAGACATTTGTATGCTGCCTGTCCAGGGAACCAACACTGTCAGTGGCCACAAACATTAGGAGGAGGCAGAGGCAGAGGGCCAGGGCCAGGGCCAGCCTCAGGGGGAAGTGGGACTCGGCAAGGCAGGTTTCTCCTCCCCCACCACTTCTCATGAACTCCCATCATATGTCAGGTGCCATTTTGGGTTGGTACAGCCTCATGTTTTTACCATGCAATTCAAAGCAGGTCTACTCAGCTCTATTCAATGGGGCTTACTCCCGGGAAAGTATCAGTATCAGACCTAGTCTTGCTCATTGGGGGCTATACTGATTGCCACCTGCTCCCCGAGGACCTGACTGTTCTTCTTGAGAACGTTTAAATGGGTGGAACTTCATATGTGTCACACGTGGGTGCTCCCCTGCACTCCCCTGCCACGGAGCTGCGGCACTTCACCTCGATGTAAAGCCCCACAGTGGTTGTTGTGTGTTTTTTTAAAGTAATGTACTTCCTTTATGTACCACTTATTGCAGGTTTAGAAGAGAATCCTCAGGTGGTCCTGCAGATGATGCAGAAATATGTCAAGGATTTTTTCGGGTGCAGGGCTTGTGCGCAGCACTTTGAAGAAATGGCCCAAGACTCCCTCGATTCAGTGAAGACATTGGAGGAGGCTGTGTTGTGGCTCTGGGAGAAGCACAATGTGGTGAATGCCAAGTTGGCAGGTAGAGACAAAAGTCCTTGCTCCATCATTTTATTGTGATAGTTTTTCTGCTAATATATATATACTAGAAATCGATCATTAAAACAGAAGGTCAACAAATTCCAGTTGGATTAAATGTTTATATGAATGCTATGTAGGACATTTGCAGTGCTATGCTCCCTTTCTCAGCTCACAGCCTTTGCAGTGGCCAGTCTGCAGTTCTTTTTGTCCAGTTTTTTAACTTCATGTTGCTGGGAAGAACTCCCAGCCATTTGGAGACAGCAGTAAGCATGACAACATACCACACAGCCAGCGTCACAATACAATGTTCCCTCTAAGCTGTGGAGTCTTACTTTGTGAGCAACTGGCATTAAAGTTGTGAGCCAGCAATTTGACTACTGCGTAAATTAGCTTCCTCTGGAGCCATCCATCCTGAGCTAGGACAAAAATGTGTGAGCCGGAGACTAAAAAACGGTGAGCTAGCTCACACTAACTCAGCTTAGAGGGAACACTGGTCACAAAGCCAGTGCAGAGCAAAGGCCAGGCTTCCCTGCACTCACTCTGAATGGGCATTGGGCGGGCATAGTGTTTTCACAACCCAGAGGGGATGAGCCCTCTGCACGGGAAACCAAAGATTCTATTGCTTTTTGCAACAAACAAAAAGGGTTCATTAGTACTGACTCATCAAAAACACATTATAGAATTTAATAAAACATCTTTTGTTTGAAATTGGAGAAAAGAGGAGCAGGCACAAATTGCAGAGGCACCTGGATTGGGGCAGAACAGCAGTGCTGTTGTTGCTAGATCTGTCGGCCACGTTCGACCACCAGCTGTCGACCACCAGCTACTGGCCCGCCACCTCGCCGACACCGGAGTCCAGGGACTGGCCTTGCAGTGGCTTCTTTCCTTTCTCCAAGACCGGGGACAAAGAGTGGTGCTGGGGGACCAGCTGTCCCGAAGGCACCCACTGGCATGTGGAGTGCCTCAAGGGGCAGTGCTGTCCCCGATGCTTTTTAACATCTATATGCGCCCTCTTGCCCAGATTGCCCGGAGGCACGGGCTGGGTAGTCATCAGTATGCGGATGACACCCAGCTCTATCTGTTGTTGGACAGCCAGTCCAACTCCAAAGCGGAAGACCTTGGCCTGGCGTTAGAAGCCGTGGCTGGTTGGCTTAGGTTGAGCCGGCTGAAATTGAATCCGACGATGACGGAGGTCCTGTGCCTGAGCTGCGGCAGTCCAAGGGTAGGGATCCCATTCCCGACCTTTGAAGGGGGGCCATTGGTGCCTGCACCGGGGGTTAGGAGTCTGGGAGTGCTCCTGGGTGCCTCCCTAACAATGGAGGCCCAGGTAGCAGCTACTGCCAGGTTGGCCTTTTACCACCTCCGGCTGATTAGGCAGTTGGCTCCCTTCCTTGAACACTACGACCTGGCAACAGTGATTGGATTACTGTAACGTCCTCTACATGGGGCTGCCCTTGTTGCAAATCCGGAAGCTGCAGCTGGTGCAAAATGCTGCGGCCAGGCTGTTGATGAGACTCCCTACTCTGGAGCATATCCAGCCTGTGCTACAGGCATTGCAGTGGCTGCCTATAGCTTACTGGATCCACTTCAAGGTGCTGGTTCTTACCTTTAAAGCCCTTTATGGCCAGAGACCTGCGTACCTGAAGGACCACCTTTCCCCATATGTACCCCAGAGAGCCTTGCGATCAGGGACCCAGAGCTGGCTGGTCCTCCCAAGTATTAAGGCTGGCGACGACCAGGGCCAGGGCTTTTTCGGTGGTGGCTCCAGTCTGGTGGAATGACCTCCCAGAGGATATCAGGGCCCTGCGGGACCTTCTACAGTTCCGCAGGGCCTGTAAAATGGAGCTCTTCCGCCAGGCTTTTGGAGCTGCTGCCGCTGCTATTACCACCATGATCACCATTGTTATTGATAATAACAACTAACATCTTATGGCGAAGAGTCCTTACCCGGGGGACCCTCAACTACTGCCTGAGCCAATCCCCTCCTGAAGCACTTCTCATTACATCTGAGCAGACCAATGTGGTTGATGTTAAAGAGTATTGTTATTATACCTGATTTTAATATGGTATTTTAATATTGTATTTCTATTAAGTGTTGATGTGTTTTGTATGTAGTGTTGGAATTTTATCTGCTTGTAAGCCGCCCTGAGCCGGCCTAGCCCGGAAGGGCGGGATAGAAATTTGAATAAAATAAATAATAAATAACTGAAAGTTCTGCTTTGCAGTTTGACAAAAGGGCTCAAAATTCAAATAGAAAGGCTCGTATGTGGGGAGTAAATTGAGAAAAATAAGTAGCAGTAGCATTCTGTCTCATGTAACAGACTGAAATCAATTTTCATACATAGTAAATCTTAGATAAAATCATGCATTGTAAGATCTGAAAGACCCAAATCTTATTTTATCCCAAAAAGGGTATTTAATGTAGTACTAATGGAAAGAATCTAATTGCTCCAACGTTTGAGAGGCTGTCAAATGGATCCGGTTCCTCTAGGCTAATTAGTCTTTCAAGTATTCTTGCATAATTATACAGTAACCATCTGCTTTCAGACCTATTTGTGTTGGTTGTGTGAGAATGATATAATAGATCAGAGTTTCTATGAGAAATTGTTCTTGTATAGATCATTGATGGTGGCCAGTAATATGAGCTGCTAGATAGAGGAAACCCACAAAAACTTTATATGGCTTATGCATTTTAAGACAGTCTTTAATTCTTTTGATCAACTAAGAGAAAAGTTGGCAGAAATAACACCAGGTAGAATACTTCAGTATTTTTTTTACACGGGTATTTAAGTAGAGGTTGTTTGTCATTGCATTACATGGGAGTTTTACAATTCATCTGGAGATTTTGGGCACCTACTTTACTCTTTTTAATTGAACTCTTAGTTGGAAGATGAAAATATTTCATGTAAATCTAATTTCACTTTCTGTTTATATGCAGATGATGTGTTTAATTTCTCAATATGTGTTCAACTATAAACATGCTTTAAGTACTTTTTATATGGAAGTAATCCTTCTAAATGTAAAAATGGATAGTATTGGAAAACAGAAAATGGTGTCTAACATATCCCAAAAGACAAAATCTCACTTTTTCTGAAATAGCAGGTAGAATAAGTAGCTAAATTTCTGTCCCAGAGAGAGGTTTTAATTCAAATCTGGTTTATTTATTTATCATATGGCAGAGTTACACACAGCAAGTATGTAATAATATAAAATGTGTAACCAAATTGATACAACGGGTATGCTGACTGACTGGCAGTCCCCCAAAATACTAATATCTAGATTTTCAATCCACTCAGTCGTAGCTTTGGAAAGTTCAAACAGCTCCATCACATCTCTCTGGAAAGCATGATGCTCACATTCCTGTGACAGATGGAAAATACTTTGGCAGGCTGCACCACAATCGCATTTGGTTCCTGGTATTTTGCCACATTTAAACAATAGGTCTTCAAAACTGCAAAAGCCTGTTTGAATTCTGTCAGCCGTCTTCCATACTTTACATGGCAAGTCAAATCCTGAGGGCATGTCAGATTTGGACCCTTGCCTGGTCATTGGGTCACTATACATGCATGTCTGAGTCTCTGATGTACATAGCTTTGCTTTGCTGAATGTTATCACATCTGCTTATGCCTATAGTTCCCAAGGATCATGTAGCACCTGCTAGCTAGGTTTCAGTCTGTCAGCAAGTATCCTCCTCTGAACATAAGGGTTAGGGTTAGGGTTAGATGTTGGATCAGGCCAAAGGCCCATCTAGTCCAACACTCTGTCACACAGTGGCCAAAAATACCAGGAGCCATCAGGAGGTCCACCAGTGGGGCCAGGACATTAGAAGCCCTCCCACTGTTGGCCCCCCCAAACACCAAGAAGACAGAGCATCACTTGCCCCAGAGCCCCTATCTATACCTTGTGGCTAATAGCCACTGATGGACCTCTGCTCCATATGCCTATCTAATTCCCTTTTGAAGTCTTCCATGCTTGTAGCCACCACCACCTCCTGTGGCAGTGAATTCCATGTGTTAATCACTCTTTGGGTGATACTTTTATATGCTGATGACGCTGTTATTCTTTCTAGAACCTCAATTGGCCTGAGAAGGGCATTAAAAAGGTTTGCCAGTTATTGTAGTGAACAGAAATTGATTATTAACTATCAGAAGACGAAGGTGATGGCCTTTGGCAGGAGACCTAAGTTAAGAAAGTGGAGTGTAAATGGTCAGAATCTCACACAGGTAACCAACTTTCGTTACCTTGGCATGATTATCCAAGCCTCGGGCTCTAAATTCGCTCATAGTCAGGCAGCAGCATGTACGGGTGAGAAATCCGCCCAAGGTATACTCAAGTTTTTCCGTTCTACAGGGGGCTATTATGTGCCAGCAGCACTGAAACTCTTTAAGGCTAAAACATTAGCCCAGATGCTCTATGGGACGCTACTTGGAGCGTCATCTTCTTGTTATGCCCCACTAGAGCTGGTTCAATCGAAATTCTTGAGATCAGTGCTCCAAGTCCCAAGGTGTGTTACAAATGCAATGGTACGGCTAGAGACTGGCATGATGAAAGTTGAAGCTAAGATCACCTTGCACTCTATTTTTCTCTGGTTAAAGATAAACCTAAACCCATGTGGCCTTGTGCCCTTAATCCTGACTGACGATTACCAATCTGAATGGCTGACCCATACTATTCGGAAAATTACATTACTAGGGTTTTCCCCCCAAGAGCTTTTGGATAGGGGTGGTGTTCAAGCTAAGCTAGTGCTCAGGCAGAGGATTGAAGACATCGAACGCCAACTGGACGTACAGGCGACCCCTGCCTTTTTAGCGCCATACAGTAGTAAATATATGGTTGCTCAAGCCCCATACTTATCCATGCACGGAATGCTGTTACCTTCCCACCGAAGTGGTACCTATTTATCTACTTGCAATTTCTTGCTTTCATAAGAACATAAGAGACGCCAATGTTGGATCAGGCCAAAGGCCCATCCAGTCCAACACTCTGTGTCACACAGTGGCC